CCTCTCATTTCTTATACATTTCACTCTTCTTTGTTGCTTAATAGCAAATGTTTTGTAAACCATTGTTTCAATGGTTTACAAAAATCTTATAACAGTGGAATGATACAAAAAAGAGTATCTTACACTGAGATCAGTGGCACAAGGGTCAGGGAAGGGAATACTTAGTGAATAGGTAAGTTTAAGGGACCTTATTTTTGGTTGTTTCAAGTGAGGGATAAACCTGTTAAAAATCAGCATTAAATACTCCAAGAACATTTAAGTATTTAAGTTCTCCTGTTACCCCCATCATGGTCTAAAGCAAAAGTCCTAAAGGTAGTTTTTAGCTATGGTTAAATCTCATTTTCTTTGCCCAGAGCACCAACAATAATGATGTAACTAATCCCACTGAGGACTTACCATGTTTGCACACTCATAGACATTAAATGGTTTAATATTCATGATAGTTCTGTGGGGGACTCTTATGCCCTGTGAATGAGGACACTGAGGCAAAGGAGGTTGAGTTAACCAGGAGTCCAACCTTCTCAGGATAGCTCCACAGCCCACTGCACTTTGTCATTTTCATTGTTTGGAATGGCTTTTTGTGGACTAGATTAAGAAAGTGGAAATGTATCAGCACATATTTAGCCTCACTACTGGTTAGATGGATGCCTTTACCTAATACATTACTACGTAAGAACCATTCCAGAAGTTCCCCACTCCTGCTCTACAGAAGTATCCTATGAAGATGTCCTGGTTCCTCCTTATCCCAGCATCCAGCATAATGAGTGGTGACAAAAACCAGTGTTTTATGGCATGCACATATATACATAGCCAGTTGATAAAATATTGACCATTCTTTGCCATATTAATATATATTCCAACCATAGTCTGTTAGAGACTGAAACATAAAAAAATTAATCTATTAAGGAAGTTATTGATGATAAAGTGAAATCATAAGTATTTCCTCCCACTGTTTTTGGAATATAAGTTTGTAGTCTTATAACTGGGGAAACTATCACTTCCTACCTTGTGTGCATGATATGTATCTTCTCTTTTCAAATACCTCAATGATTGAAATAGTTGGATTATATACAGAGACACTTTTATGAAGACTCTTGTAAAAGCCATTTTAAATGGAATGCCAAGTTGAAATTTGATGTATTCTTTGGATATTTCATCCACATATTGTAATGGATTATTTGTATTCATTATGGATATGTAAAGTTTTATTTATTTAATAGTTAAACAGCAAAAATCTTATAACAGTGGAATGATACAAAAAAGAGCATCTTAGGTAATTTAATTCTCTAGGTAACACTGAGATCAGTGGCACAAGGGTCAGGGAAGGTAATACTTAGTGAATAGGTAAGTTTAAGGGACCTGCCTGGCGGAGCTCCCCCATCAATGCTTTCAGAGAAATTGCTACTATTGACTTATTGATGAAATGCTTTGTCTCCCAAAATGTTTTTTAAACTTTACATTTATTTTAAATTTATTGCTTTTACAAATTCACTTTGAGTATTTAATGCTGATTTTGAAAAATTATATTTACTGACACTCTGATTTGTTTAAATATTCAAATCTATTTGTGAACATTGTTAGGTAGATAATATTTTATCAGAATGATTACTTTTGGTGAGGCCTATAATAGAGGTTCTATTTATATTTTAAATTATCTGTTGTGATAATGTGTTTTCTTTTATTATAAATGTAAAGTCATGGCTGACTACTTTCTGATGTGTATCTGCAAATTTAATGTGAAGGGTGCATGATTGGCAGTTCATCAAGATTCCTTAATTCTTTGTATTCTTTGTTTCTGGACATTGTCACCAAAGGAGAGCCTTTTTTCTCCTGCTTTTATTTTGAGCTATAAGCTGTTTCTTTACTTCTGTAGTTTCCTTAGCAACCCTGTAAGACTTGAAGATTTTCCCTATGAATTGTATTTCTTCATGACAATATAAGTAAGAAAGTACCAGAGAATAAGAGGATTGTTGCTTGGAGAGGCTAGAACCAGACCTGTCCTGGCCCCTGCTTGTCCCAGCATCCAGCACAGTGAGTGGTGACACAAGCTAGGTGCTACATCAGTATTAATCCAATGGGCCATACTTTTGGAATGAATGGAATTAAGTCAAAATGACATAAGATGGAAAAGATGGAGTTTTAATAATAGAACAAAATTGTGAATATCCTTCAAAGAAGAATTTCAATCTATAGAAGCCTATTTATATCAAGGCCAATGTTTTATATTATACACAGAAATACATAGCCAGGTGCTAAAATATTGACCAGTTCTTTACCATTCTAACCATAGTCATAAACGGAGTATATTGAATTGTGCACTATGGATGTCAACAAAAATAATTTGTGAGGTCCTAAACATAATGGGGTTTTCAGTGAAATAAAAATTGGATGCCAGAATGTCTGGTTATGAGCTGATTCTTATCAATGCCACCTCTGAACAGTCAGCACCAGCCCAGTAACCATCATAGGATACTTCTGTAGAGTCAGAGTGAGGAACTTCTGGAAAGGGCTAGATGCTCAGTATTTCAGGCCATGCAGGCCATGTGTGCTCTCTGCTGCATTTTTGTTGTTGTTGATTTTATGTTTAACAACCCTTTACAAATTAGCTCAGGGGTCTGTATGGTAATGGGCTTGAGAGTTATGCAAATAATTACAGATAAAGAGTGAGAGATCCTAATATTCTAGACTTCAAAAAGCAGTTCCTAAATTTTGTCTATCATTTTAAACCCCTAAAGTTGAGGTTAAGTTTATATCCTTGATGATTTTGAACTACTAGGGCTGTTATACTCACTTAGCTATAGATCTATATTCTAATTTGGTCATCCAATAAGCTTTTAAAAATCTGTCAATGTACATTTTGGATTTTTCTTATAATATATATTTTGGTGATTAATATATGGTTAACTATTCTAGACAAAGTGTTAGAACATAACTCAAAGCATTAGGACAAAAGGGTTTTAAGGCCATTATTTTGTGTCGTGGTTACCCAGTAAAATTTTTACTAGTCCATTTTGCCTGAGAAGAATCTCCAAGAAATATAATTTAGGTGGTTTAAAGCTGTGGATCTCAAAGTATGGTCACCAGCTCAAGCACATGGACAACAAGAGGGAATTTGTTTGAAATGCAGATTTTTAGATTCTACCTCAGACCTGTTCACTCAGAAACTCAGGGCTATGTCTCAGCAATCTGTGTGCAACAAACACTCCAGAAGATTCTGATGCTTTAATAATAATTTAACTATTGCAAAACCATTGTGGCAACAGGGAGGATGAGGGTAAAATCTTTTTGACCAAAATAATCTTGGCAAAATCATGTGCAGAACAAAATTTCCTTGTTGGCTAACTGCAAAAGCAAGCCTTAGTTATTTTTAATGCTGTCAGTGACATACATAGGAATATGTACTGCTAAAATGTGAAATCATTTCAATTCTTCATTACCACGATTTCATTATTTCATTGCCATCTAATAAGCTTGAGAGCTTCATTTGAACTTGACTAGTTATATTCTTACCAGGCATGTTTGTTTAATTATAAAATGAAGAGTAATTATTTAGTTTACATGATTTCTGGACAATGTAGTGTTTATATATTACACACTATACATGTGAATTGAACTTCCGAATTTTAAAAAGGACGCTACACATAATAAAAATATTTTAGTCTGAATTAAATGTATGTCCATGTGTACATTGGCCACAACTTTCTGTGAAAGTAAATAACTAACATTGGTTTGAAAGACACGAAGGTCTTTTATTATTTGCTTTGTCTTCATTTAGTACACATGTATTTTTAAAAGACAGTTATGTATGAAAAATGCAAGAGGAGATTTTTTTCTAGGCAATATGAATTCCTTTTTAAAAATTAATAATTAATTAATTAATCAATCAATCATTGTTTCAATACTAGTGATTAAACCCAGTGTGCTCTACCACTGAGCTACATTCCAAGCTCTTTTTTTTTTTTTTGCTTTTATTTTTCATTTTGAGACAGGGTCTCATTAAATTTCTCAATTTCAAACTTGAAATCCTCCATCCTCAGTGTCCTATGTCCCTGGGATTATAGGCCAGCACCATGGTGCCATACTGTATGAACTCCTTTGTACTGTTCTCTTTGCAATTGTTTTTGACTGATTATGTGTCTGTGTGCATGTGTTGTGATTGGAATCAAACCCCAGGGCCTTATACATGCTAGGCAATCACTTACAATGAGTTTCACCCAACCCCTGTATATGAATGATAACATGTAACTTTTTGGCACAAACTGATAAAAGTAGTGTTGATACCAAAAAAGTAAGATATTGTCAGTAAGTTCAGAGAAAAATGGTGGCATCCCAATGGAATGACCTTCTTAGTTATTGAGGTGCATCATAAAATAGGTGTGCCTTTTGTGATTTGACTCAGCCACAACATTGAGAAAAAGTACAGCTTGTATTAGCGTGCCCTTCAGATGAGTTTAAAATGGTACTTAGTGAATCTGGGATGTGCATGCATGACTCTTATGACTGGACACAAATATATTAAAGTGAGAACTGTTAAATGTCTAAACTACTGGGTCACAAACAATAAAGCTATTTACACTGACACCTTTTACCAGTATGTGATAACAGTTTTATCCTTTCCAAACACCAGTAGTGTCAATTTCACATTGAATGATTGTGAAATATACAGGGAGATTTTGTGCAAGGGGGATTAACTTCAGCTTGTTCCCTCACCCTTACTTTTTATTGAATCAGAAAAGCAAATACAAAGATAGGTGCAATTGGAAGGAGAGGAACACAAATACTTCTAGATGATACTGTCTTAAAACAAAAAAAGTCAGAAAAAGCAAACAGAGAGATGATGTGTGTTAACTCTAGTATCAAGAGGAAGTTGGCAGTGGGTATTTCCACCTATGTTAAGCAAACCAGAAATAGACTACATATGTACATGTGTGTTGACTTATATATTTCAATGCAGTAATGAAAATATATCTAGAATCACTTTTTGATGTTTTCCGTTGTAGGATCTGAGATGGTTAATTTTGATGGAAAAAGTTTCTTATTGTACACAATTAATCAGAAACCCATCAGTTCAATGAAGGAGATCATTACTTTGAAATTTAAAACCAGGCAGAGTGATGGGATTCTACTCCACAGAGAAGGACAAAATGGCAAACATATCACCCTGGAATTAGTTAAAGGAAAACTCATCTTGTTCTTTAATTCAGGTAAAAGGACAAGGAATTGCTTTTAAAAATGTGATTACTTAGATGAAGATGCTTTTTATACTTATTTTTTTTTCTTAAGCAGTTAATTTAAACTGAAACCAATCCATTTAAGAATGAAAGAAGGTCTTATAAATAATTCCTTGGAGTGATTGGTACAAACAAGAGCTGTCTAAGCAAGGGGAACGTGTTCATCCTACAGTTGTGGCATCTTAGGGGCTACATGTCTGTCTTAACCATGTATTTATGTAAACAGTATTATAGTTTGATAATTGTATAGAGCCATCATCAGCTGTCCAATAAATAACCTGATAATATCATAAAGATGAATGGATGATTGTAAAATTTTGAGGTAGTAGCATTACTTTTCTTCTTTTCTAAGAAGAAAATATTTTTACATTAAGTGAAAATGTCATCAGAAACAGTGAATGAATGTGAAATATACAGGGAGATTCCCTGATCCTTACTTTTTATTGAATCAGAAAAGCAAATACAAAGAACAACAAATAAGAGAAGAAATTGCTCAAAGGTCAAAACTATATTGTGTTTAGGATTAACATTAAACTATTTAACTAGCTTTTTGGATAGGAGGATATAAGGAAAGCGTAATTGCTGTGTCAAATCTCCCAGTAGAAACCATAGTATTGAATGGGTGGAATAATACTACATTGACTTTTACTCTCTTCTCAGGTGGTGCTAACCTGCCCTCCCTAGATGCCCAGGTGACCCTCACCTTGGGCAGTCTGCTGGATGACCAACACTGGCATTCTGTCCTCATTGAGGTCCTCAACACACACATCAGTTTCACAGTGGACAAACATACTCACCGTTTCCAGGCAGAGGGAGAGGCCAGCCTTTTAGATCTTGATTATAAGGTGTGAACATTATAGATTTTGCACTTAAATGAAATATAACCCTCTAGAGAAAGAACTGCTACATTGAATACATACTCTTTCCTAGGAATTCAGAATCTGGTGAATTATTTCCTATGGATTATTATCACACAGTAGGTTGAACACTGCTTATCAACAAGGTACATTCTGAGAAATGCATCATTAGGTGATTTAATTGTAGTGTGAACATTTTAAAGTGTACTTACACCAACCTATATAACTATGGCATCACCAGGCAACATATTCTTATGGGATGCCCACAAACGTGAGGGCCATCATTGAACGTAATTGTAATTCGGCGCATGATGGCACAAATATACACTATTGAGACATTTTATCCTTATGAATGTTAGTCCTCAGATGAGAATAAGCACTCATGCCAGGAAGTTAGGATGTTTTTGGATGAAAAGCTATAAATAAATACAAAAAAACCAATATTTTAAGGCATTCTTTCAGATAAGTCTTCTGTATTATATCTGGTGTTTTTGAATGTGAGCCCTGGAAATTTCTTTTGCTTATAGGATAGTAGTAAACAGAATTAGTGACCTGGGATAACCTGGAGAAACAGTCAACAAGTATATTGATGTATTAATGAGAGACAAATGCAGACAAATAAAAATAAATGTTTCTTAGTATTTCTGAAGCCTTAACAATGTTAGCAGTGTATTGCCCACATACATCTACTCCACACTGAAATGCAGCATTTGATTTGTTCTGCTGATTCCGCTCAGCACATGTATCAGATAGAACAAGAAAACCAGAAAATATTGACATTCATTTGACCTCAGTGGTGGAGATCAATGGAAGATCCTGCTCTTGAAGAAGATTATCAATGAATAGACTTTTCCAACCTAAAAATGATATGGAAAAGGCCAGTGCCCTAAAATCTTGGCTACTATAAAGGTTGGCAAAGTCAAATGCCTTCATAGTAGGTGTCATGTCCACAGCCCCAATTGTACCAGGGCACAGTGGGGTAGGTTGTGGGAAAGCCAAAGAAAGTGCCCAGAGACAGCATGAAAGACATGTGATTTATTGGGAAACCCTCACAACAGATCACTGCTACCTCCAAAAAGAGTTCAGTGTTGACAGGATTGCAGATAGCACTTTTGCCTTTCATGGTGCTTTGACAACTGGTGCCTCTGTTCCTCATGGCACTTTGTCCAGTGGTGGTGGCTGGACTATTAACACATATTCTTCTTTCCACAGTATGCTCAATCTGTGCTGATCCCTACTCAGAGAGGGGTTTTATATCTTAGACTACAGAAGCAGTGCATTCATCAGCATTAGCTGATTAGTTAGCATGTCTAACCAGCATCCTAAGGAGTACTGTCTGGGTGTACATGTAAGAAAATAGCTGTCTACAGTAGCACTTAGTAGCCCTACTTCCCATTTTGTGTAAGAGAAAGCCCAGTTCCTTTAAGATAATATATAACTGGACTTTCCAGCCCAGGCTTGCTCTCAGGGTTCCCTTAAGTTGGCAAGGATTCTGGGAACAGAAAGGGGGCATTCAGTAACATGCAGTTTTACTCTTCCCCTTTTCTTTAGGGATGATACACTGGGATAAGTTGTTACACCGATCATCATGGAAATAAAGATACAAAATTCTCATCTAAAAATGATGACAAGAATCATATGACTAGAGAACTGAGTCTCTCTATAATAAAGACAATGATAAATCTGCATTTTAAAATTTTATTTGTAATTAATATGACAATATAATATGCAAAGCAAATTTGAAGACAATTGTATTTGTAGATCATTAATGTTTTGAGCAGATAATCAGAAAATAATTAAATAATATTATTTATATCATTTTATTCTTTCTAAGATCAGCTTTGGAGGGATTCCTGGACTTGGAAAATCAGTGGTGTTCCCACATAAAAGCTTCAATGGGTGTTTTGAAAATCTCTTTTATAATGGAGTGGATATCATTGATTTGTCCAAGAAACACAAACCAGAGATACTCATCATGGTAAGAAAGTCCAAATGTGTGCTTTAGTAGAGAAAAGAGGTGCAATTTGTTTTGTTGATTCCGTTTTAAAATATATTTCTTCTAAAGGTACAAATCATACATATTTTTTGTTTATGTTTGATATAATTTTTCTATATATATGAAATGGATACATAATGTTACAAAATAATGAAATGAGATTATGTAACAGTTTTTAATACACTTTTTGTGGTAATAAGAATACTTAACATGAGATCCACTTTCTTAAGAAATTCTTAAGTGTGCAATAACTATAGGCAGATCTCTAGAATTTATTTATCTTCCTTAACTGAAACTTACATGAGTTATGTGGCAAATCCCCATTTTCCTCTGCTCTTATTCCCTGGTAACTACCATTCTATTCTCTGCTTCTCTGAGTTTGACTGTTTTATATAACCCATTTAAGTGGAATCATGCAGTATATGTCCTTCTGCAAATGGCTTATTTCTCTTAGCATAATGTTATCCTGGTTCATATATATATATATAGCTGCATATGGCAGGATTTCCTTTTAAAAGTTGAATAATATTCCACTTTGTGTGTGTTTTCTATATCCACTCATCCTCTGACGGATGTTTATATTGTTTCTACATTTGGGCTATTGTGAATAATGGTATAGTAAACATGGGAGTGAAAAATATTTTTGAGATCTTCATTTCAAATCTTTCAAATAAATACCCAGAAATGGGATTGCTGGATCATTTGGTAGTTGTAGTCTTCACCTTTTGAGGAACCTCCACTTGACTTTCCCTAGTGACTGCATCATTTTATATTCCCACCAACATACTGGTTTTGCTGTTGAGTTTCTGGAGTTCCTTGTATGTTTTGGAAGTTAATCATTTGTCAGATATACGGTGGGTAAACCTCTTCCTCCGTAGGTTACCTTTTCACTCCTGGTTGTTTCCTTTGTTCTACAGTACTGTTTTTAGTTTGAGGTACTCCCACTTGTCTATTTTTGCTTATATTATTGTATTTCTAGTGTCATAACCAAGAAATAATTGCCAAGGCCATGTCATAAAGCTTTCCCCTGTTTTGTCTTATGGTTTTGCAGTTCTTGGTCTTACATTTACTGTGCCTTTAATCTATTTTGAGTAGAGTTTTGCTTATGGTGCCCAACAGAGTCCAATATACAGTTTTCTCCACACCAATTATTGCAGAGACCATCCTTTCCCTGTGATATATTCTGGGCACTCTTGTGGAACATCGGTTGCCTGTATATGTGTGGATTTATTTTTGGTTTTTATTCTGTTTCTTATGTTGATATGTTTATCTTCATGCTCATACCATTATCTTTCAATTACTGTAACTTTAAAATATATATTGAAAACAAAATATATGATGTCTCCAGCTCTCTTCTTTTTTTCCTCAAGATTGCTTTGGCTATATAGGATCTTCTATGGTTCTATATGAAATTTAGGGCTATTTTCTATTTCAATAAAAAATGCCATAGGGATTTTGGTAATGAATGGATTGACTCTGTATATTACTTTGTATAGTATTGCCATTTTAACAGTACTATTGTACTATTCATGAACATGACATGTTTCTCTGTCTTATTTATTTTATTTTTGTTTTGGAGTTTTCTATATACTCCAAGTTTTCATGTTTTCTTACCTGCTTAGTTAAGTTTATCCTCAGTGTTTTATTCTTCTTGATGGTACTGTAAATGAGAGTGCTTTCTTAATTTCTCTGTTTGTCAGCTTTCTGTCACTGTGACAATATACTTGTGATTATCAATTTATAAGGAAGAAAGGTTTATTTTGGCTCATAGTTTCATAGGTTTCATTCTATGGTCACTGGACCATAGAGAGAACCAGGCTTGTAACACATGAGCCTTGAGGGAGCATTAGGACTCCAGCTTCTTCTTTTTGCTCTCTTTGCTTCCTAGCTGCCATGAGGTGAATAGGCCTCCTTGGTCATATGCTTTCACCATGATATACTTTCTCACAATAGGCCCAAAGCAGCAGAGTCAAGCAACCCATAGACTGAAATCTCTGAAACTGTGAGCCAAAATAAATCTTCCCTTCTTATGAGTTGATTGGTATTCTGTCACACTTAGTCAGAAAGCTGACTAACACAGAAACACAACAGATTTGTTTTTTTGTGTTGATATTTTTTATCCTACAACTTCATTACTTTTTCTCATTAATTATAGTTTTTTAAAATATTTTTATTATTGATGAGCCTTTCTTTCTTCCTTCCTTCCTTTCTTCCTTTCTTCCTTTCGTGCTGAGAATCCAGTGCCTCATACATGCTAGGCAAGTGCTCTACCACTGAGCCACAACCTCAGACCTAATTACAATTTTTTAAATATTTAGTATCTTTTCTAAGGTGTCACCTGCAAAAAGTGATAACTTTAACTCTTCCTTTCCAATTCAGGTGCTTTTTGTTTCTTTATCTTGCCTAATTGTTGACTCTGGTTTTTATTAAGATGTTGACTGTAAATGGTAGGGCATTCTTGCTTTATTCTTCAAGGAAAAACTTTTATTTTTATTTTTTACCATTGAGCATATTAGCTGTAGGTTTTCTACATATGACTTTTATTATGTTGAGGTTATATCCTTCTATTCTTAATTGTTGGAGTTTTTAGCATGAAATGGTGTTGACTTTTCTCAAATGCCTTCTGTGCATCAATTGAAATAATCAAGTGATTTTTTTAAATCCTTTGTTCTATTTATTTAGTCTATTACATTAATTGATTTTCATATATTGGCCCACCCTTACATCCCAAGAGTAAATCCCACTTAGTCATAATGTGTTATTCCTTTAATCATGTTGTTGAATTCAGTTCTCTTATATTTTGTTGTATATTTTTTTTCTGTGTTCATCAGAAGTATTATTTTGTGGTTTTGCTTTGTAAATCATCTATAATTTTGGTTGTAGGGGCGTTGCTGGTCTCTGCATGAGTTTGGAAATGTTCTCTTCTATGTTTTTAAAAGAGTTTGAGAAGAATTGGCTTCAATTCTTTAAATATTTCTTTAGTGGGATATTTTAATCATCATTTCAGGATTCTTACTATTCTAGTTACAGATCTATTGAGATTGCCTCTTTCTTCATCACTTGTTATTTTTTAAAAAATATTTATTTTTTAGTTGTACACAATGCCTTTATCTTTATTTGTTTTTATGTAGTGCTGAGGATCGAACCCAGGGCCTCACGTGTGCTAGGCGAGTGCTCTACCACTGAGCCACAACCCCAGCCCCTCATCACTTGTTATTAATAGGTTATACCTTTGTGGAAATTTATGCATTTCTTCTATGTCATCACATTTGTTGGCATTTAATTGATCTTACAGTCTCTTAGTATCCTTTTAATTTGTGTGTTATCAGTTATAATGCCTTTTCTTTCATATCTGGTCTTATTTATTTCAGTTTTCCCTTTTATCTTGTGTAACTAAAACTGTGTGAATTTTCTCAATTTTTTTTTCAAAAATCCAACTAAATTTTATTAATTTTTCTATTCTTTCCTTCATTGATTTATCTTCTAACCTTTATAATTTCGTTTCTTTGATGAGGTGGGTGGGCTTTGTTTCTTTGCGTAGTTCTTTGAGTTATAAAGTTTGGTTTTTGTTTTATATCTTCCTTCATTTTCAGAGTGGGCATGAATTATTATGTTCTATTCCATAAATTGTGACATGGAGTGTTCTCATGTTCATTTGTCTCGTGGTATTTTCTAATTCCTTTTTCTTTCTTTCTTTTTTTAAAAAAATTGTAGTTGTAGATAGACAGCATGCCTTTACTTTATTTGTTTATCTTTATGTGGTGCTGAGGATTGAACTCAGTGCCTCACACATGCTAGGCAAGTGCTCTGTCACTGAGCTACAGTCCCAGCCCTAATTCCTTTTTCAATGTATGCTTTGATGCACTGAATTATTCCAGAGACCTTTTATTACCAGGAGTGGCAGCACATGTTTTTAATTCTAATTCCTGAGGAGACTGAGGCAGGAGGATCAGAAGATCAAGGTCTGCTTGGGAAATTTAGCAAAATTTCCCAAAATAAAAATAAAATTGGGGAAAAAAAAAAGAAACAGTGGGCACGTAGCTTAGTGGTAAAGTGCATGCCTGCATGCCTTACATATATGGTGCCCTGGATTCAGACCCCAATACCAAAAACAAACAAACGAACAAATAGAAAAAGGCATAGTGTTTAATTTTTACATATTTGTGAATTTTCCAGTTTTCCTTCACCTGTTGAATTCCAGTTTATTCCATAGTGATCAGAAAAGAACTTTTTAATGAGTTTAAATTTGTTATGACTTGTTTTGTGACCTAGTATGTGATCTATCCTAGAGAAAGTTTCATATGTGTTTGAGAAGAATGTGTATTCTGCTATTGAGTAGAATTTGCTGTGTATACAATTTGGTCTACATTGTTGTTCAAATATACTGTTTCTTTTTTGATTTTCTGTGGTGATGGTTCTATCCAGTTTTGGAAGTTGGGCATTGAAATATCCTACTATATTGAATTGCTTCAGTTGTGTCAATGTTTGCTTTATATATTTAGGTTCTCTGATGTTAGTACATTTATTTTTATAATTATCGTATCTTACTGGTGAATGGACACTTTTATTATTCTTTGATGTTATTCAAGTTTTATCTCTGGTAATACCTTTTGATTCAAAATCTATTTTGGTTGATATATATTTAGCCACCCATGCTGTATTTTGGTTATAACTTGCATGGAATATTTTGTTGCATTACTTAACTCAGACTGTATCTGTTCTTATTTGTAAATCTGAGTCTCTTGTAGAAACACATATTTGGATCTTGATTTTTCATCTGTTCAATCACTCTTGTGTCTTTTGGTTGAGGAATTTAATTTATTCATAGTAAAGCAATCATTAATGATGGAGGTGAATATTTTTGCTTATAGCATTTCTAACACTAAATGTGTGTGGTATCTTTCCTTCTGATGCCAAATTTATGTTACCTTTTCTAACACCAGTTCTCCAATTCTTGGACACCAGCTGTGTGTCCTACAATT